AACCTAAGTCTGTACACGGAAATTTTGCACCAGACCCTTCGAATGCAGCCAACGTCGCCCCTGTGTTCAAGCTTCCAGTGAAAGGGGCTGCCACCAGCAGGTCAGCTTACCGGGGGAAGCCAATTCCTTCAAAGGCGCCTCGCTCACACGGACCTCAGGTCTCCAACGTCGCGTCTCCGGAAGAGTCAGATTCATCTATCCGATCACAGCCGTCTGGTAGAAGCACTCCAAAGAGGAAAAGGCGTGATTCAGACGACAGCCTGGTCGCTTCGCCCACTCCAAGTGATCTGCACCTGACTGCCCTTCGTTTGACGCCTGATTCAGGTTCGCAAAAGTTCCACATTTCTTCCGAGGACGAGCAGATGGATGATGTCCCTCTCAAGCCGGCTAGAAGCAGCCGAACTAGGTTGATTGACCGACTGGACGCTCCGCGCGCCCGGAGCACCGAGATATCGCAAGAGCAACAGTCCAATCAACTCAATGGCGGCACCATACCACTTGGAAGGGTTTCAGAAGATCGCCAGGCAAAGGCTAGTCTTGATCCCGAAAAGAAGCCACCCAGTACAGCCATTGCTGCTTCCTCGGGACGTCCAAGAGCCACTTACGCTAAGCAAAGGTCATACTTGAGCGAGATGGCCGACAGCTTGGAGAGCTATTCAGCGTCAAATAGCCAGCCTTCTTCGCAGGAGATATATTCTCAGACATTGGCATTCACCAGTGTGACGTCGCAGATGGAGTTAGACAATGATGACAGTGATGAAGGCGACCCTTTCAGCCGGATCAAAAGCATCCACGAATTGAGACGTGGGGGAGCAATCAGAAAATTCGACTTGGAGCTGGACACTATCTTGGAAGATATTCAATCAGGTTCCAAGTCACGACGCATTCCAGGGCTTCTACAACTTGTTCCCAAGCTGGACGAAATCTCTTTCCTCCGTCATTTCCAAGACTCTGGTGGCCTTCAGCGTCTCCTAGACTGCGTAAACGGATCCCTGGACGAGGTCAGCGCGACATTGCTTGCTCTAGTTCTTCATTGCACAGTCATCGCGGAAAGCTCATCGCCAAAGGTCGTGCTTCAGATGTTGAATGCTCTTTACAAGCTACCTCCACGGCTGGTTTCGGAATCCAGGTCATTGACCAAACTTGCAAAAGACCGAAGTCAGAACATCTCCAGGATTCTTGTAAGAGATATTGCAGAATTTGAGGAGGAGAGGTCCAAAGGCTTAGGTCAACCCTACCTGGCTGTCAACAGAACCGTGCTTGGTTCTGTAGAATCTACTCTGCGAAATCTTATCCGGCTCCAGGAGCCATTTCCCAAACTACCGCGAGGACTTCTCGACGCTATTCTCTCCAACTTTGCGACGATGCAGGACATGGCCGAAGTGGGTGGTATGGTTAAGCAGGTAGAGACCATCCGACTCTTGCTGTCGATATTGGAGATTGCCTGTGCCAACCACGAGCTGACCGGGTCTATCGTGGTGACTCCCCGGATAGCGGGACTGGGCGAAAGTGTGGCCAGCGTCATGAAGGAAGCTCGCCACTCGGAACCGCAAATTGAGCACTCGTGCCTTCGGCTCATCGTTAGCCTCAGCAACAATGATGCAACAGCCTGTGAGGCCTTAGTTGAGGGACGACTTATCGGCACCGTGTTTCGGGTCATTGATGACCAGTTTCTGGAGCTGGCAAGGCGTGCGACGCAAGAACAGGAGGTTGACCATGCGCAACTTGAATCTGTGATTCTGGCTGTTGGTTGCCTTCTCAATCTTGCCGAATGCGCAGATGGAGCCAGAGAGCGTATGCTGAGGCCGATGGTGGGCGGGCAGAACATGGTAGAGCAGCTGGTGGACATATTTAACCGCCATGTCGACCAGACGTCCGAGGTATGAGCCCCTGACTGAAAGTCCAAAATGCGGGAAACTGACTACTACACAGGCCTTGACCATAGATCAGACTCGAATCTTAGTCGCCTTCGGCTATATTTCCGCATTACTCTGCACACTGTGCCTGAACCCAACTGCGTGCAAGCGGATCTCGCAATCTATCAAGGGAAAGGGGCTTTCAGCCTTGTTTGCAGCTGCAGATACGTTCCTCGACCATCTTCAGACGGTTGAGGCGGCACTTGGAGAAGAAGGCAGCTCTTCAACCGGGTTTACTGAACGATTCAGGGTGGTGCTTGAGACGGTGAAGCAGCAAGGCGATTGATGATTCCCGGGGTCCGAGGACGGGCTATGATGAAAGATATGACATACAGTTACAAGACACCACATACGACATTGGGTACCGGGAATGAATATTGGGATATGTCTGGAGTCGATCACCATGGGGTTTGCATAGCAGAAGTCGTTGATACCCCCTGAACTTTGGTTGTGCAGGATATGGAGGTGCATCTATGCCGGCATCATTGAGTGGGATTCGAGATCCATACACGTACAGAGAGACGCTTGCTACGATGACTTGAGGTGCAGAGGTGCTTTGGTGTCTGATACTGATCGACGCTGTCTACCGAGTACAAAGTACGAGGTATACTCCGTATATCCATCCCTCTTCATTCTCCCCTCCTCCACCCCTCCAACCTCTCTCCCTTTGGCCCGATATAAGGCCCGCTTCTTCCCTCGGCCCCATCCAAGTCTTTTCACTCTTGTCATTATTGGCTGCGGGGAACAAATACTGCATATTAGTAGCGTGCAGGTTTCATGTATTGCGACAATTCCCCCCGCCAAACAAAATGCATTCCCGCCGGTACTTTGGATTATTCGTGGCCTGAATTGCTTCGGAAGAAAGTCAAACAACAAAAAAAAAGAGAGCCAGGCATGCTTTTCCCAATTCTCACATGGCTACCTTTTACAAGTCTCGCAAAATGTCGGTGAGGTTACGGCAAGCCACTTGGCCTGGGTAATGTTCGAGTATAGGCTATACATACCGTCTCTTCCCGATCATTATTGCCATTCCCATTACCATTACCGTCACCATCACCACCACCATCATCATAACACTACTACCATCACACAACCACCAACACCACCACCCACCCCTCCTCCATCTCGTCCCATCCATCGGCATCTCATCATACCATTTCACTGAATATCACGGCAAGAACCGCTCATCCGCAGCTGCGACACGACAAGACCAAACAAAAATAAACCTTGACACAGAAATCTAGTAAAAAGCTTTGGGGACCGAACAAAACTTGTAATCCCGCCGCCGCCCGTCATCACCCCAGTTCTTATTACATACTGATTTGCTCCATCTGGCCCGGTCGGCCTGTATTCGATTTCTTCCATGGCCTTACCCTGTCTGTCGCTTTCTCTCTGACGATCATTTCTTACTTGACATTTTGCCTCTCGAATACACCCTTTTTTTGGCGCTAGGAAAGCTGCCGACTGTTTTCTTGGGCTGTGACTTGGGATCCGAGCTGTTGTTCTGAGGGTTGTGACGCCATACTTTTGTTTTCCCCTTGAGAAAACAAACCATCCTAGATTTTTTGTGTCGAACATGGCTCCCTCGGTCAAGCAGCGAAAGATCGCTGTTCTGGGCAGTAGATCTGTCGGTCAGTCCTCTCCCTCTAGACATGTCTTTGTACACGGAAAAAGAGCCAGTAGACGGCACAGGAAAGACGGCCATGGACTGACAAGTTTCCCTTTCTCGGTTGCGCAGGCAAATCCTCTCTGACCGTCCAATACTGTGAAAAACATTTTGTGGAAAGCTACTATCCTACGATCGAGAACACATTCAGCCATGAAATTCCCTACAAGGGCCAGACGTTTCTCACCGAAATCATCGATACTGCTGGACAGGTACGAGACATCATGCTTCCAGAACAGGTGGCGGGTTTTTGGAGTGCGCTGACGGTTTGGTGGGACACAGGACGAGTACAGTCTCATGAATTCGAAGCTGTACATCGGTATACATGGCTACCTGATCGTCTACTCGGTGGCCTCGCGGCAATCCTTTGACATGGTGAGGATTATCCGAGACAAGCTCTTGAATCATCTGGTAAGCCACCCTGAAAGCCTCCTCCCGGCCTCTCTTGCAGGCTGTGCTAATGTCCCCGGTCGTCCAGGGTGCCGAGTCCGTTCCCATCATGATCGTCGGCAACAAGAGTGATGTCGACGCCAAAAAGCAGCGTAAGGTCACCGCCGAAGAAGGGCAAAAGCTCGGCCAGGAACTCAACTGTGGTTGGATTGAGACCAGCGCACGGAATAACCACAACGTCGCAAAAGCATTCGAGATGATGATTGCCGAAATCGAGAAGTCGCAGGAACCAGACAAGCCTGCCGGTGGTGGCAAGTGTGCGGTGATGTGAAGAGCAGCAATTGCACAACTATCCAAGGCCCTCGAGGGGAACTCGGTGCCGCCTGGGGTTGATTAATTTCGAGGAGTTTCTTTCTGGTTTTGGTTGTCTCAACATGTCGGAAGTGGTGGTGGTGTTGTTCTTATTGTTATTACGCGGTCGGCTTCAGTTGGCGTTGGGGAGTAGCATGATAGACATGGAGATGTTTGGCTTTACAACGGGCGTCTATCGTGGGAATGTGTCAGTCACTCTTGGGCTTGAGCGAGGGGGTGGGAAGGTGAACGCGGCTCACTCAGAGACCAGAATCCTTCATTCGCTCGTCGAGCGAGGGAGGATGCTCGCTGTATCGGGGTTCGCAAGATCATGCAATAGAGGAAAGAGATGGAATTGGCTATGACTTGGGCAAAGTAGCTAGGATAATAATATCGCCCTATACTTGGTTTTCTCCGCCATTGTGAGACCTCCGGCCTAGACACGCTGACTCTCTAAATATTGCATCTTCATTGAAGGGGGCCGTGGTGGCTGGCTGGCACATATCGGAGTGACTCACGAGGCTCCGCAGGTTGCGTGGGGTGGAAGCGCGGGCACAAACACATTTCGTTAGGGGGTTCGACCACCTGCACCACACGTGCAGTTGAGAAGCGCAATCTACCAGCCTGCAGCCTCCTCCATTTCTCGTGCTTGCCTTGCTCCCGATCCTCTCGTCATCATGATCGAAGTTCAGGACCTCATTGTCTCGAGGTAAGATCGCTCCTCTGCAGGTCAGCGTCGCAAATTTGGTCTCACCGGTTCCGTTTAGAGGGGGAGATCCCAAAAAAGTGATTGAGAGTCTGCAAAAGCGATACGCCTCCACCGAGATCGTCGACGAGGTCATTGCGCTCTGGAACGACGCCTATCAGAGTATGTCCCCCTTGTGTATCCGTGGGAATGGCTTTAACTGAGGTTCTAGCACGGTACAAGGCCAGCCAGTTTGGCGCAAAGATCAATGCGGTCCAAAAAGAGATCGGGCAGTTGAAGAAAGTCGGTCGACTCCCTCCTACCCGTGAATATCCCCGTGAACGTCCCGGACTGATGGTCTGTGATGTATAGGCAAAGCAAGACGCGGACCATCTGCTACAAGAAAAGATCAACTTGGAAAAGGAGAAGAAGAAGGTCGAAGAGGAGGCCGCAGAGAAGGAGAAGTTGAGAGACCGCAAGTGCAAATTGATTGGCAACTATGTGCACGAGTCGGTGCCGGTCAACGATAACGAGGTCAGTTGAAACCAGTCAATACCACACGACCGAAAGAATCGAGACTGACAATGAAGGGCAATAGGACTTTAATGAGGTGGTGAAGAAGTGGGCTCCGGAAGGCTTCACAGAAGAAAAACGAGACTGTCTCTCCCACCATGAGGTGATGACCCGGGCAGAAGTCTACGATGGCGAACGAGGCGTCAAGCTGGTCGGTCATCGAGGTTACTTCCTTCGCAAATGGGGTGTCCTGCTGAACCAAGCCCTCATCAACTACGGCCTACACTTCCTCGTCTCCAAGGGCTACGATCCACTACAACCACCCTACTTCATGAAGGCAGAGTACATGGCCAAAACCGCACAGCTGGAGCAATTCGATGAAGAGCTTTACAAGGTCGTTGAAGACAAGGACGCAGAGGACAAGTTTCTTATTGCGACCTCCGAACAGCCCATTTCGGCAATGTTCGCTGAAGAGTGGTTGACGGAAAAGGATCTGCCCATGAAGTTTGCAGGCTATTCTTCGTGTTTTAGAAAGGAGGCTGGTGCGCACGGGAGAGATGCCTGGGGGTTGTTTCGCATACACCAGTTTGAGAAGGCAAGACTTTCCATCATTCCAAGGAACCCCCGCCTGCTTGTGCTGACAGGACGTCTATCCAGATCGAACAATTCCTCTTTGTCAAACCCGAAGAATCCTGGCAAGCGCTGGAAGACATGAAATCTATTGCCGAAGAGTTCTACCAATCCCTGAAGCTCCCCTACCGGGTTGTGGCGATCGTTTCGGGCGCACTCAACAACGCAGCGGCCAAAAAATACGACCTGGAAGCGTGGTTCCCGTATCAAGGCGAATATAAGGAGCTCGTATCCTGCTCAAATTGCACCGACTACCAGACGCGAGAGCTGGAGATCAGGTACGGACAGAAAAAGGGCGCCATCGACACGAGGAAGGGGTATGTTCATGCCCTGAACGGAACGCTGTGTGCTACAGAGAGGACCTTGTGCTGTCTGGTGGAGAACTATCAAAAAGAAGACGGCATTGAAGTGCCCGAGGTCTTGAAACGGTATATGCCACCCGGGACGCCGGACATCATTCCATACACAAAGGAATTGCCCAGAGATACGACCTCGGCAAAGGTCAAGCAACCACCCAAGCCAAAGGCAGGAGGCGCGCCTGAAGGTGGCCCCAAGCGAGACATGCCGGCGGCGGAGAATGTCGCAGACAAGATGAAGAACATGAGTGTGTAAAGAGAAGGCAACGACACAAGATACGTGTGAATTGATTTGACGAGCAACGCATCCATGATCAGATGAGAGGAAATCATAGGCAAAGCATCCACAGCAGGGGAGGGAAGAGATAGATATTCTCAAAGACCATCCAAAAGGGGCTTGTTGCGGTTGATACTACAGAGACTATTGAATAGAGTCAGCGCGTAAAATGAAGTCTCGTCGTGATCATGAAGCAGTTAGAGTCGGCCGAATTGTTTCCCGTCATTGATCTTGTGCAAGTGAAAAATCAAACTTCGCCTTTTCTCACACTGCCGTGTTGAAACCCTCGATGACTGCGAGGCGCGAGAAGATTGTTATCTGTGGTATGTCCTACCTGATTCCATTAACTGTGACTGTTACTGGTTGATATAGAAAGTGCGCGAGTGCCGCGATAAGTGCTTCACCGTAGCAAATACCTTACGGCAAAAGCCAAGATGCTCCGCAATATTCGGTGCCAAGAGAATATTTCCGCCCACATACTGCGGTTGACTGCGATATCAAAACTTCTACCACCCCCATCGTCTTCTACCTAATTTCACCCCAACATCAGCAACTTTTGTGTGTTGCCTTTTCAATCGGACCCAGACAGCTTAATCCTGCGACAAGACACCCGTCGCAATCATGGCTGTTGGAAAGTGAGTCCAGTCTTCCACCACCGCCCAGCAGGTCAATTTGTACATTCTGCGCAAACGCACAACACTGCGCAGGGAGGCAGCGAACCTTGTAAAGACCAGGAACTAACGAACACTTTTGTGCTCTCCAGGAACAAGCGATTGAGTAAGGGAAAGAAGGGGTTGAAGAAGAGAACGCAGGATCCCTTCACCCGGAAAGATTGGTATTCGATCAAGGCTCCGTCCACATTCAACCAGCGAGAGTACGTCCCCCTCCAATGTACCCCTACCACCACCACTGCGAAGAGAAGGAACGAAAGGGAACAAGAGATGTCTACAATTACACTCTTAAGGGCTGCTCGCAGGGAATCATGTGTTGACATTTTTGTGTTCATAGTGTCGGCAAAACCCTCGTGAACCGCACCACGGGTCTGAAATCCGCCAATGATGCCCTCAAGGGCCGTATCTTCGAAGTCTCGCTTGCCGACCTGCAAAACGACGAGGACCATGCCTTCCGCAAGGTCAAGCTCCGGGTTGACGAGATCCAGGGCAAGAACTGCCTGACCAACTTCCACGGATTGGACTTCACTTCAGACAAGCTGAGGAGTTTGGTGAGGAAGTGGCAGACGTTGATCGAGGCCAACGTCACTGTCAAGACCACGGATGACTACCTTCTGCGGCTGTTCGCCATCGCCTTCACCAAGCGTCGCCCCAACCAAATCAAGAAGACAACATACGCCGCTACCTCGCAAATCCGGGCCATTCGCAAGAAGATGACCGAGATCATCCAACGCGAGGCCACCAGCGTCACCCTCGCCCAATTGACTGGCAAACTCATCCCCGAGGTCATTGGACGCGAGATTGAAAAGTCCACTCAAGGCATCTACCCCCTCCAGAACGTACACATCCGCAAGGTCAAGCTGCTCAAGGCCCCCAAGTTCGACCTCGGCGCTTTGTTGGGTCTGCACGGCGAGAGCGGCCAGGATGACGAAGGCCGGAAGGTCGAGAGGGAGTTCAAGGAGCCCGCACCTCTGGAGAGCGTGTAAACCGGCTGGGGATGTCTGGGGTTGCATTGCGTGTCACTATGAATAAATTCCAAAGAAAGAAAAAACACGAAAAGCACATGTGAAAACCTTTTATGAGCTCAAGGAAAGGGGGGTGATGATTGAGGAGGACGCGAGAGGGGCGCGCTATTCGACGTAGGCTGCTGATATCCTCGACGGCTCGGTGGTCCATGAATTGCGCGAGTCCAGGCTAGGACAGTCGCACCTCAGGATTTGTGCAATCTCTTTCTATCCCTTTTCTGTGGCCGCACAAGGAAGCAGGAGCAAAAGTGGAATGAGAGACATGTCTGCCTGTGGTAGAATAGGGGGGAGTTTAGTTTTTCTAGATGCTGTTGCACAAGGAACAGAGTGTGGCCCGGCTGCCTTGTAGTCGGTGCATCTCCCCCAATTCTTCGACGAATACAATGGGTTCATTCATGTTTATGCTAGATTACTCGCCCCAGTATAGGCTGGCATAGGCATAGGCATACGCACAAGGCATTCATACGTATGCGTTCTATCCTGCCGTTAGGGCTTTTCCTTGACCACCAAAACCGAGAATGAGAAAAGAATTCCCATCAATTTCCTACCAACCAAACAAACAAGAGGAGCGTTCCACTTCTAGCATTTCTATAGGTAGTATGTTGGTCTGTCTATATGTATGTTACAAATGTGACTGATGTGTTTGGATGATTGAGGTAAGGGGGGAACCAGTGCATCATCATCTCGCCGCGGCCAGTCAAACCGCGGTTTCTCTTTTGTCCTTGTCCTCCTCCTCCTCCTTGTGGCATTTCTTCAATGTCTCTTCTTTTCTCCATACCTCGGATCTCTTTTGACAAACCACCTACAGAACCAACATTCAATGTTGCAGCAAGTGGAGCGAGGGGAGTGCGGGTCATCTATGTCTCGTCGACGACGCGGTCCACCCACTCGACCAGCGCGGCGCGAAACTCGTCAAACTTCTCGCTCATGACCCAGTGGCCGCAGTCAAAGTCGCGCAGTTCGAAGCGGGGGAAGAAGCGGCCGATGACGGGCAAGGTGTCGTCGGCGACGTAGTGGCTCTTTGTGCCCCGGGCGATCAAGGTGGGGCCCTTGTATTTGTGCGTGTCCGGGTCCTTGAAGGGGAAGTCGGCCAGGTTCGGGAGGGATTTGGCGAGCGTGTGTAGCGGGATGCGGAAACGCAGTTCCGTCGCGTCGTGCTTGTCCTTGTCCCTGCGTGCGCCGTGGTGCTGGTGCGATGAGTGCGCGGGGCCGCCTCCTCCGCCTGCTCCTCCCGGCTGGACGACGGGCATCTTGACCAGGTTCGTCAGGAGGAATTGGCGGATCGCCAGGTCCGGCTCGTACTTTGCGAGGATCTTGTCCGCGTCGCTCTGTCTCTTGGGCCGCGGTCTCATCTCGTCAATCTCCCTCATCGCGTCCAGGTACTTGCTAAAGTCCCCTCTCAGGGCCGCGTCCACGGGCGCGTTGTCCACCGGCACCAGCGCCGAGTATCTCTCTGGTCGGCGCAGGGCCAGCGTCATGGCGACCTTGGCGCCCATCGAGTGGCCGACCAATGTTGGGGAGGGGATTTGGTGCGTGTCGAGGAAATGCTCCACGTCCCGCGCCATGGCCGTGTACGTGTGCACAGGCGAGTGAGGCGAGTCGCCATGGTTGCGGAGGTCGATGGTGTAGACGGGCCGCGAGAGGTCTTTGGCTAGCGCTCTATACCAACAAGAATCAGAACAGGAAGTTTCCTCAAAACGTGAACACCGCGCGACGAACTGTCAAGGGGGGGAAAGGTGTGTGGGTGTGAGGTGCTTCCTTACTTACTCAGAGTCCGGTTGTTGCGCTGCGACCCGAACAGCCCGTGCATGATGATGATGGGACCCGGTCCCTTTGTCGCCGTCTTCTCGGGCGGATTGTGCCGGTGGAACGCCAGGTCCACGATGTCGTCGCCGCCGCCGCCGCCGTCGTGCCGGTGCTTTTCATGACGGAGGCGGGTGCTCGAGGGGGAGGTGGTCGAGACGTGTCGACGGCGCGAGGGTAGACAGGTGCGTCGCGGAAGGGCGGGTCTGAGCTGCGGTATTGGGCGCATTGAGTCGCACAAAGGGAAAACAAGGAAGAAATGAGATGGATTTGCGTGTCGGGTTTATTATTGCCTTGGAGGGGACTGTCTCATACTTGTGGGAGCCACTTGTATGTGATCGATTGATTGAAGAAGAGGGGTCGAAGCTGGTGTTGTTGGCAGATACATAAGCACCATGAGGTACTTGACTGACTTGTAGATTTACATGGGCGACCAAAAAAAAAAGGAGCGAGATCGGGCGGCGCGATGACGTCAGGGGTTCCGAGCCTTGCGGCGCCTCTTGGTGGGAGCCTCTCGTTAGGATCTAGCTGAGATGCTGAACCTGTGTGACAATATCCGCGCCGCACTCCAGCTACATCTCAAACAGCGAGGACGACCGAACGTTTCCTATCAGCCTCAGAGCGCTGTCACGTCTGAATTGGACTTCTCGCAGATATTTGCTTGGTTATGAAGGACGCTGTGCAGGACAATTCCTAGCAGCAGATTCCCGCGATTGACATGCTTGTGGGACACGGACATCCTTCACATCTTGCCTCGCTCGACAGATTGCATCTCCTTTTGGTGCGACTCCGGATCTTCGCTTCTGACGGGCAAGTCCTCGGCAAATCTCGCGTCCTCACCATCGGACTCAAACGGGTTGGATTCGATGTTCAGGTCGGTGCCCAGGTCCTTGCGCACGGCTTGTCTCCGGCGCTCCCGGATCCGGGTCGCCTCCTCCTCCGACAGTGTGACCCCAAACAATCCCAGGGCCTGCTGGACCTCGTCGAGGGTCGTGCGGGCTTTGCGTCGCGCCTTTGCGCCGCCCCACTCGATTTCCTCGCGGAGCCGCTCATTCCCGGAGTCCATGATGGCGAGGAAGTTGTCGCGCACGCCCCGCAACGCCGAGATGATCTCGTCCGCAATCATCTCCTTGAACGCACGCATGCTGACATTGGCGTTGTCCTGGGCGATGTATGCGCTGGATTCCCGCGACTCGGTTACGTGCCGCAGTATCTCGACCAGGTTGGATACCCCTGGCCGCCGTTGAGGATCGAAAGATATGCCCGGCTCTGAATCCGTCACGGCACCTCGGAGCTTCGCGTGTACCTCCTCTGGGCTGTCGGTCACCAGGATTCGGGATTTGGGATCAGGGTCCGACTTGGACATCTTCTGCTCCGGGCGCTTCAGGGACATGATCCGTTTGGCAGGGGCTGTGATGCTGATTAGTACCTCGAATGGGTGAAAGGGTCGAAATGGGGGAACCTTACATATGACCGGCCAAGGTATTCGGAAGACATTTCCACCTGCGGATTCTCTGACCAGGGCATTGAAACCCCGAGCCAATGTCCGCGTAAACTCAATGTGCTGTAGTTGATCCTCCCCTACCGGCACAATGGATGGTCTGTCGAACGTTTAGCAGGGACAACCAACCAGAGCGAGAATCCAACTAACTGATAGAGCAATATATCGGCAGCTTGAAGGACGGGGTACGAAAACAGGCCGAGCTTGAGCTTCGCTGTAGCTTCGTCGCTTTCGAGGGTGGCATTTTCGGGCAAGTTCAACTTGCTCTATAGGTTACATTTTCAGTCCTCAATCCGTAGGCGGCTAAACATGTGGAGAGGTTCTGCGCGTACCTTCCACTGAGTCATTCTGGACAGGTACCCTGTCGATGCAATGGTACTCAAAATCCACATCAACGAGGCATGTTGCGGGACCTGTCGTTCGATTTCAGCTGATGAGGAACCTCCCTCCACAAACATTTGGGGTCGCACGACGGCCTTACATCGGACTGGAAGAACAGCGTCGTGTTCCTGTTATTGTTCAAGCCCAGGGCCAGGAGGGCCGCGTACGACTCCTTGCGCAGACGCAGGCGCTCGGACGCCGGAGTCTCGGCCGTCAGGGCGTGCAGGTCGACGACGGAAAAGTACTGCTCGTAGCGGTAGTGCATGGCGAATTTCGGGTCGGTCGACTGCTCGTGCAGCCGCTTCCACTGCCGCAGCGCCCCGAGATAGTTGCCCAGGTGAGGCACGCCCGTGGGCTGGATGCCGGAAAACGCTCGTCGGATGCTGCTGGACGACGGAGACATGCGCGCCCAGTGCTGCTCTATCTCGTCTTTGCCGCCATCATCATCATCTTCATTCTGTCCCGCCGTTCTTTCTTTGGCAGGGCCATCGCGCGCTGTCTCGTCGATGGACCTCCGAGGTGGCTTTCCCTCGCCCAGGGACACCCTCTTCACCGAAGCAAGCTGTGGCTGCTCGTGGCTGCTGAGCTTGCGGCGGAACTGGATCTTCCGGGGACAATGAAGCCTCACTGACGCATGAGCGAGGCCTCGGGGCATTTCACAGGACAAAGGAGTGTACGCGTCCCCAAACAGAAACGCCGAGTTGAAATTACAGGTATAGGGATAATACTAATTTACATGTCCAGAGGAGGACGAAGAAAGTGGTTGTCTCTCAAGACAAAGTACAAAAGCTACTAACTTGTCAGGCGAAGGATCAATAAAATGCCGCGTTTCCAACTTGGGATGGGCTGAAGGTGCCGCTTTTGGGACGTTGTCGCATCCACAGTTATGGATTGCGCCAAGACTAGATTCTCCGTATTCCCGGATTACAAACGCGGAATGAGGCATTGGGTGCTCCGTAGAGACTCAGCCTTGTCCCCTTTGTCCCAAGTAGAGAGGAGGTAGAGACGCTGCCGGTGATGGACACGTTGATCATGGTGCTGTGTGCCAGTCTTCGCTAAAGCATGACACAACCCACTTGTCAGGCTGGATTCTGCCGTATGTCACAAGCACAAGCTCGGCCCAGTGACGCCCCTGGATGAAGAGGCCAAGGATTGTTTGCCAACAACACCATATTAGCCACGGCTACTTGGCAGGGCATCCTTCCTCCGTCTTAGACTTTTGACCATCTTGCCTTGATCAGATCCGCGGCTTTCTCGCCAATTCCGTACCTGCTACGGGTCAGTATCAGCCAATAATATCTTGGGGAAGTCATCATACGCAGGCATCTGAGTGTGGCCACCGTGCAGAGTAGGCATCACGCTGGTGTCAGCGACACGGAGGCCTTTGACTCCGCGGACCTGAAGCTTTTCATCAAGAACAGCCATCTTGTCGCCATCTCGCCCCATTTTGCATGTCCCTGCAGCATGATAGCATGTGGTGGCCTCTTTTCGTACATAAGGCTCCCATTCTTCCCGTTTCGTGTAAGTATGATGTGTCAGATCTGAGCATGCGGTCAGCGTCATGCTCCTGGTCACGGGTGGCCGTGTTGTACATACCTGACGGCCACGACCCTTTCACAATCTCTTGTTTGGCAACCTTGTTCAGGTTCATGACAATCTCATTGCCGAGCCTGCATCCCTCGGACAGAACGAGCATGTCGAGCGGGTCGGCGAGATAGTTGCAGTCCACCACCGGGTTTTCTAGAGGGTCTTTGGACTTTAGAGTCACCGTCCCCCTTGACCGTGGTGAGAATAGCTCCGTGATCATGGCGAAGGCATGCTTCTTGTCTAAAGGTAGTCGGTCAGACTTCGTGGCTGCAGCCGCGTACTCCCTCAAACTCACCAATGGGGAACTGATCATATTGCTTAGGGCCACCGTACAGCTTTTGACCTTGGTCAGCAGGATACAGAAGCTCGAATGATGTGCAGAGTGCTCACCTCAGTGGTGAAAAACTCAATGTTTGGCTGCTTGGGAGTCAACCCCATCGGGTCCCGGCCAGGCTCCCTCTTTGCTTCCTTCCAGAGTGGTTCATCTTTTAGGCGATCATCGAGCCTTGCAAAGGCGAAAGCGCCAAAGGGGAATGTGGAGAGGATCCCCTCCTTCTTCTCCTTGTATAGCATATATGCAGCCATGGCAGCGTCGCCGTGATACCTAGACAAAGGATTAGTTGATGAAATCGCAGTCAGGCAGAACGTGGCGTACACAAGATGGTCGTTGGTCAGTCCTTCCTTGGTGACTTCGTAAAAAGCAAACACAATCTGCATCGAGTCAGCCCATGACAGGCTCTCGCTCGAAAGGAGACGCCGCCTACAAGATGATCCAGCAAGTTCTTCCCAACCCCCTGCGAGTCGACGAGACACTGGATGCCCAACTCTTCCAACTCAGCCTTGGGACCAATGCCCGACCGGAGAAGGATGGCCGGAGAACAATATGCGCCTTTCAGACATTAGCTGTCGTCATCGGAAACCCTGGGTAGATCTGGCAATCACCTCCAGAGACAATGATCTCCTTTGTTGCCCTGACTTCTCTGGTGGTGCCATCCTTGCCGACGAGCACCACGCTTGTGGCATGCAATTCACCATCCTTCTCCTCAAAGTTGATTTTGTCGACGACCGTGTCAAGCAGGAGGTCAATATTGGTCTTGTGTTGATCGTTGGTGACAAAGTCGGCTCCGGTAGTTCTGATGCCCTTGTGGACTTTGCAAGCTAGGGTCAGCTTCCCATCTACAACAGGGACCCCGTTGATGCGTCGTACGTACCAGTCCGGGGCACGTGGCCACAACCATGCGGAGTCTCGCCATTGCTGAACATGTCGTGGACCAACGGGAAGCCCATGTCTTCCATGCTTTCCAGTAACAGGTTCGAAATGGGGGCGAGATCGTGCGGCTCTGTGTGGAGCGGGCCGTTGTATCCGTGGGCTTTCTCGTCGGTTTGAAACCACGGTTTGGGATGGAACGTCTCGGCCTTCTTATCATCAGCTGGCATGTCGTTTTCACTTGGTAGGATTCCCCAACCTTGCGCATGTACTTGAAGAAATCCTCTCCGGACCACCCTGGAAGCCTGAATCACTAAGTTGAATCCTCCGAACCGCAGTGTTGGGGAGCCTTACTTCCAGTCATCATAGTCCTGCTTGTTGCCTCTGATGCAGAGGGTTCCATTGACACCGCTAGACCCTCCCAAGAATTTCCCCCGACTCAGCTTGACTTGTCTGCCGTTGACGCCAGCCATGGGCGGAGTGACCAGATTCCAATCAAGGTCGGAGTCAAAGTTCTTGGACCAGCCGCCCGTCATGTGGACGTTCTCGAGATCTTTGTTGTGAGGGCCTGCCTCGACGACGAGGACCCGCGCGTTGTCATCTTCGGCGAGTCTGCCCGCGACGACACAGCCTGCCGTGCCTCCGCCGCTACGATGACACAGTTAGCGGACAGGAATAAGGTACCAAGACGGCGATACTGACCACACGATGAAGTCGTAGTCGTTGTCAGCGACTATCCGGCCGGGAGACATGGTGAATGCTGGATGGTACGGCTGAAAAGGAGACAAGAGATCAGCAGAACCTGGTGTTCGTCATGAGGAACGACGAGACTGCGTCGTCTGTACTCGGTCTGTATGTCTCATATTGACATTCCCCCAGTGACTCCGTGGAATTATTCCACGCAAACGCCCCAGGGTTCAGGCGACTGGCACCCGTATCGAATAGCCATGTAAGACTAAACCCGCGACCCAGCGCACCATGGGTCAAAGTGTGGGATGGGTGGGAGGGATCCATTGGGCCGATGCACCAAGGTTTTCACCCCGCAAAAGAACCAGCTGAGGCTGACTAGGACATACGTGGAGATTCTAGGTGAAGATACAGTAAAGTTGATGTGGGATTTGATGTGGAGATGGTTCATGCCGACTTGCTAAGAAGTTGTCGACGTGCAGATGCTGGTCGATGCGCGGAACAAATTCCTTCTTCTTTCGTGGTCATTCATTTGCCCCTTTTTGCCGTGGACCATCAATGCCTATTACACGACAAACAGAAGTTGCAGGGAAACTTCCTGCCAAATTTGGCGGTATGAGCCGCCACTTTTGGTAATCTTCCCAACCTTTTTGTAAATCAACACCGTCGCCAGCCCATCACCAGCCTATCATAATCATGGCTGAAGAAAATCGCTTCACTCCACAGGCGGATTTTAATCTGCTCCATCATGCGTTTCGTACTGCTGCCGATGAAATCGAGAAACTGCCAAATTTACCTGCAATTGCCGGTGGCGAAAGAATTCTTGCCGAGATTCAGCAAATGAGAAATGAAACTAGAGAACAATTCGCCCGTCTTGAAGAGAGAATTACAGCTTCTCATCATAGTCTTCTTACCGTACTGAGTACAAGGTATATATCGCTCTTGAATTCATTTAGTATCGCCATACTAATTTATATAGCGACCTCAACAATGCTGCCCGCGTCCAAAATACCTATCTTTCGGGTCCATCTGATCAGCTTTCGCCATTCCTCAACCCATTGACCGGCGCTTTCATTCCTACATTTCCTACTACACCTGTAGAGATTAGGCGGATGACGGTGCATGATGTGGATACTACCTTACAACAGCTGGGTCTACAAGCTGGTCCGGCTGGTACGAGTCTAGCGATGAAGAAGAGACGATTGAGAGTGCACATTAGCTTGAGATCGTAAGTTGAGAGGACTGCATAAAGCCAAATTGTATCAATAGATTACGATTCGCCTTGTATGATATGTGGTAGCCGGTAAAATGCATGCGCGGCGTCTGAATCAGAGGCAGATTTCCCGGCAACAACTTTACCAAACAAGGATATCATCCCAGCCTGGATTCTGCAATCTACCGTTTCCTACTTTGGATGGTATGGACGAACACTCTACCGGCGCCTTTCCGTACCACCTGGATGGAGCAGGGGAAGGAACAAGAGTGGACGAGTATTAATGAGGACAAGTACTTAGTCAGGTTACATCCCTATCACCGCTAATAGCGATGGTCATTGTATTCAGATTACATGGCGAGATAGGCATGTGTTGTAGGTACGTTCATGCAAGGCACTCCGTATTGCTCCGCCGAATGTATCACTGCTACATGAGCCTTCGTTGTACACCTATCTATACACAAAAGTATCCCGAGCTCTCTCAGAGTGCAATAGCGTGCGAATAGCCTTTCAACCTCCTTACCAGGGATCCTCAGTCGTCCTGCTCTTCTCCCGAACCTCGCTCATGCCAATACCTTCACGCCTATGTCCCTGTCTCTCGAGTAGGTCAAGCAGATCGTTCTTCTTGCCCGCTGTCTTGTTGAATCCAAACAGACGCAGCTTGCTATCGAGTTCTTTCTCGAGAGACGTGAAGTCGTGGTCCATCTTGGATGCAACATCTGAAAAAGCAACACACGTTAGCAAACTTACAGGTAAACCGCAAACGCATAGCAACCAGTCCACAGTAGCTGAGGGGGTAAACACAATGGTGTAATGGTGAAATAGCCATGAGCGTGCCTCTCCAGACTTACCAAGACCTTCCCAACCCCACAGATTTGCCTTCATACCCACTCCATAAAACTGCCATTTTCTCACAAACGCCAACCACGTCTCGACCACTTCTGGATGTCCGTCGTACACGGTAATCAACCTCTTCATTGTAATCCTCTCAAAATTCTCTTGGGCCTTTTTATTCACAAAGTTGCTCTTGAGGACCGTCCATCGCTCAATCTTCTTCGGGAGGGGCGTCGGTCCCCGACAGGGCAGCGATAGGTAGTACGCGGCGCGGACGCAGAAGTCGGCGAAAAACTCGAGGTTGCGAGTGCTGAAGGAGCGGAGCTGAAGCTGGCACACGGGGATCCCGTGGGTGACAGGATGGTAGAGCGGAGTGCGGTACGCGGCAAGGACGTTGGGTGGTACGTTGGGTCTTGCATTTTCATCTCTGGGTGCCGCGGTCGTATTCTCGGACACAGAGAGCTGCGGCGTGGATGGCGAGCCCCTTGTAGCTTTTGGAGTTCGCTTTGTGGGCGATTGTGGTTGTGTTATATCCTGGGCTTGAGCCTCCGACACCACGTCCGGTCTCTGCTTGGACCGCTGTATTGAAGTCGGCGTATGCTTGGGCTTAGCCGTCGCTGCCGCCGAGTCGTCTTCTCTACCGCTCTCTTTGACCGGAGCTCTCTCTTCCTCGTAGGCATCCTGGATTTTGTATGACCCGATCTCCGGAGTTGGGAAGCCTGCTGTAATATCAACAGGCCCCGTTTCTATCGATGTGTCTCTGCTGTTCTTTTCATATCGCGGCGCATGCGAGCAAAAGGCCTGCATCGATCGTTGCCGATGGGCTGGAGCAGAAAGACGGGGTCGAAGCGGAACGGTGGTGGTCTGGACATCGAACTCACAAGTCAGTCAATCGTGAACATGTTCAGAACAGCTCCAGAGCGCCGCTGCTGCTATAATGCGGAAACGTCTTCCTGGTGAACAGCTTCTTTCTGCCATGTGGGCGATGTGAGGCTCTTCCATACCTTCTGGGGCCGGCATGCTTCAATAGCTATGCGGAGACATCGTGGTGTCGACATCCTTTTCGTCGTCCTTTGGGGACTTGTGCCGCAGCCGTGATCCTCTGACCAGACTCAGGACCTCCCCGCTGTGAATGTGCTTCTCTGGAAAATCCGCTGTGATATTGTCCGTGCTCTAACAATCCCGAGCATTAACTGGGGGGACAAGACGCGCGAAGCGGATGCGACTTCAGGAAAAGTTTCAATGGTTTTCGGAGCCCCCAAGAAAATCCCCGAGCAACATGCGCCGCTTTAGCGGGCCATTGGCAGACTTGGGCCATATTACGAGGTATAGAATTACAATTTACAACAAACAACAACCAGTCGAGTCGATAAGAAATGCATATGGAAAGGTTAGATTCGGACCTCCTTAATGACGACAAGCTTGCATATGCTCAAGGGTCTCTAGTAATCCGTGATAAGCTGTAGGCGAGGCAACATGAGGCAAGACTGTGCGAGATTCTCTCGAGCAATATTTGCATCCCACACAGCATCCGCTTGAAGAAGAAAGTAAGGTGTATTCAGTCATACTCATTTCCTCCAGGTCCTCCTACCATTGATTAGCAGAGTGGTAGAAGTTCCAACTCTCAACCGCTAGTCATCAGCCAGAGACCCCAGGAGGGTTGCACTGGGTACGAAAAAGGTCGTCCCCGTCAATGGCGTCGAGTAGTCCAGAATGCGATCGTGCAACCCAGGCGGCGAGCCCACAAACATCCGGTCCAGCATCTGCTCAATGACCCACAGCTTTCTCGAATAGCCGATGAAATAGGTGCCAAACTCGCCTTTCCCGGGTGTGCCAAAGGGCATGTTGTCCCTCAGAATCGATAACTCGGTTCCGTCGTCCCCAGAGATGTTGGCTAGTTGCTTGTGAGCTTTTTGCTTGTCCTCGGCGACGTCGTCCAACTCGATGTTGTCGAGTTTCGTGCGCCCAATGATTGCCTCTTGTTTCTCCGTGGACAAGCCCCGCCACCTGCTCAAGTCGTGCACATACTTTTGCACGACGACGTAGCTGCCGCCTGCGGAGCCTGCGTCGTCTGCTTCCGTCACCAGGACCGAGTCGTCGACCGCAGCGCCCACAGGGTTTGCCGTCCCGTCCACGAAACCCAGAAGATCGCGAACGTCAAAGTACCGGAATCCCACGGTGTCATCCTCAACCTTGACACTGTCGCCCAAGCGATCCATCAGCTGGCGCTCGAACTCGAAGCACAGGTCGCGGCGCTGAGCCCGAATGTGAAACAGCAGATCCCCAGGCGTGGAAACAGCCGTGTGGGCTTTTCCAGAAATGGTGGGAAAGGGGTGCAGCTCGGCCGGTCTGGGAACCCCGGGCAATAGACTGTCCCAGACATTGCTGCCAATGCCGACAGTGCACGCAAAGGCGGCATCCAGATCTCGAATAGCAACATTCTTGGAGAGGTCGTCCACACTGGCTAGCGTCGAGCGCACCGTCTTGACAGCATCGGGCTTGTCAGTCAAGGAAACAACGAGGAAGGTTGCCGACTGGGTGAGCGGTGCGTCGACTCGCTGAGGTGCTATGGGCGTACGGCGGCTCATCTTGTTTCTCGGTGTCGTCGTGGACAATCCCGCGACTTGTGCTTGATCGAGTAGAGATTGTGCAAAAGGCTTTCGGGTGGTGTGATCAGTCATGGAAGGTCTCAGCTCTGTGCCTCCGCCCAATGTCGCTCGTGTAGTAAGGCTCCGTGCCTCTATAGTCGAATACCTCGAAACGCAGAATCTCAGGATGCCGCAACCGACGCCTTGAGTGAGCCTGTTCGTATTCATGCCACAAACGAGTCAGAACAAGACCACTTCAATCCTGCCTCGACGCTGACCAATATAATAATGCAGGTACCTTGTAGAGCTGCAGCGAGCTGGCTTACTTTGTCCCGACGGCCATTGGTTGCAGGCGCGTGAAAGATCATCCTGGCGCAGGCTGGCGCTGCCTTGACTGCGTCACCAACGTTGATGTCGGATGATGACTCAGCCTGCATCGCATGGAACCTCGCGCGAGACGAGGCGAGGCCCGTGGTGTGAGATCTTCGTCAAGATGACCATACAAGTACCTCTACAGACCCAGTACAGCATGTGTGGGATTGAATCGACTGACATCCCGGACCCAAAGGGCCGAGACGAGCATTCTCATTGCATTGCTGCTAAAACTATCTATGGGCTTGTTGTCGAGCCACTTTCAGCTCCTCCCACATAATAGTCTCCATTACTGTCATACAATCCCATATCGTCATTAGAAAAAGGGCATAATCACAATTCGTAAACTCTTGACATCATAGCAAAGTTGTCTCTGCAGTTGTTCCATGGCGTGGTCCAAGCACATGAGGCTCGTCCAGTCCAGGTCAGGCACCAAGAGCCCGAGCACAACTGCAGCGGAGCGTCCGTCCGCTACCAGCCTCGATGAATCCAACGGTCCGGTGGTATCACCAAGATTTTTTTCCTGAAAAGAAAAACATAGGACGTGAAGAGTTAGTCCACTCAGCCATCTGTGGACGAGCGGGTATCAACCAAAGTTCATTAACACATCAAAAGCGTGAAGTAAGGCTGCGACCCAGAGAAGGTCGACGGGAATGGCCAGTGGATGTGGTCGCATTCGCCGACTTTCCACCAATCTTTCCAAATCCTTGAAGGATATCGACACCCTCGTCGTTGTCATCCGAGTTGTCGTTCTCGAATGACTTGAAGTCAAAAAGATCATCTTGTGTATCGAAGAGGGAGCCATGCGAAGCGGAAGCTTTCAATGGCGACCCACTTTGGGTAGCCCGTACGCGGGGATGCAGAAGAGAGCTCCGGGTTGGAGTTTTGGTGTTGCGATTCTGGGCACTGCCAAGCACATCCGTTAGGATATTGGTAGAAGTTGCTGATCGACCATAGGTTGGGCGAGAGACAGATCCCTTCAATGGTGATGAGGCACATAATGGTGTGCCTGGGGTAAAACCAAGCGCCGGATCAGAAAAGATTTCAAAAGATTCCTCAGTATAGGCTGACGAGGGCGCCAGACTCGTCCACCGGAGAGGACTGTATGTTGCCTCTTCTAACAAAAAGAGTCCAGAGCTTTTGATCGGTGAGTTGGCAAACTCGCGCATTGCTTTGCGATGCAGCAGGAGCTGCGTGTTTGGAGACACTGAAGGAGGAGGGCGTGCGGGTTTCTTGAAGATAACAGCAGGAGTCACCGGATTCTGGTTCACCACTGGGCTGACACGAACGGGGGATGACAACTGAGCACCCTCCGCCGTGGATGGCCGGAATCTCCCATGGCTCGGAGTCAGATCATGCGAGGAGCTTCTGATTCGCACAATCTCCTCTTCGGCGCGACCTCTCTTCTTCCTCATAGGCTCAATGTCCAGTTCCGAGGTGAGCATCACGGTATTCTTGTTCGGCCGCAGAGCAGAAGACTCAATGGACGAAAAGTATCCGCTGTCATCGTTCTTGGTAAGACTTGGGTTATGTCGATGAGATACAGATTGGCGCGGCTGTCGTGTAGGCGGCGAAGAGATCGCGCGTTGATGATGAGGTGCAACCACGGGTGGCGAAGAATTAATGGCATCTGGGGGAGACGACTTTGGAGCCGTGACGGCGCCGGTGTCTTCAAATTCGGCAGTCTCATGCTCGTTCAGAGCGGGGTCTGAGGCGGGAAGAGTAGCATCTGATGAGAGTTCCGGAAGGGCAGGAGCTGTCTGAGGGCGGGGTGGTTCGCTGGATTGACCAAGGAAGGGGTTCGGTGCGAGCGCGTCCGAGAGCTGTTGGGCAATCTTCTGAGGCTCGGGACGCATCGCGTTGGCATTGATCGTCATGTGGGTGATATTGGCCCCTCTGCGATTTCTATCCTTGATGAACTGCGACTCCATCCCTGGCTCAATGACCCAATAGCTTCCCTTTCCGGCATCGCCCTTGGGCCTCTCTTGCTTAGTGAAAGCTTTGTGCAAAGATAGGTTATGTCTGATACTGTTATGCCAGCTTTGCTTGGTGTCTTCTCGGTAATAGGTGAATGTAGTCGAGATCCAGTCGTAGATTTGCGCCAAAGTTAGCCGCCGATTTGGTGCTCTAAGGATAGCCATTCCGATCATCTGAGCATAGCTGTAGGCAGGCTTATTTCCATCATCCTCGACGGGAGGCATATCTTCAGGGTTAGGTAGCTGGAAGACGGATTCATCTTCCTGTCGAGGCTTCTTGAAAGGGCGTTCGTTGGTCATCTGCGCTTCCGAGTATGATCGTTTTAGGGGCTGTTTGCGGACGTATGAGGGCTCTGGAAAGTCGACGAAATTATCTTGCGTAGTTGGCATCCCGAAGTTTTCCTGGTCATATGAATCAAGTTTTATGTCGAAGGTGGTAAACATTGGCTGTGCCATTTGAACAGGACGATACTGCTGGCTGGATGGAACAGCATGTCTCTTCGCGGGCGAGTCAGTGTACATATGGTTTGCCGTCATAGGCGGAGGGATCGCAACATAGTTGAGGTCTCCGTAGTAAGGTGGCTGAGGAGATAAGGGTGTGCTCTTGAGAGGGGATAACTGTTGGCCGGGTGCCATCGGGGCACTGAGGATGACCTCTGGGCGTGGGTGAGCAGCAGGCGGGTTTCTTAGTGGCTGCAAAGGCATAGCCGAAGGTTGCAGACGCGGTCGATTTCGGCTGAGATGTGAGATATTGTTCGACGGAAGCGGCATGGGATCCTGATAGATCTGTACAAAGGGATGTTGACGCGTCGAGGCCATGGCGAAAAGTGGTGTAGAGTATTCACAGATACAGGACAAGCCAAGTGTATGG